CCCTCTTTCTAGATCAGACTGTTATAAGGTTTTGTGCTCACGTGGTACGGTCTATGTGGGGTAGGCCTGCCGACCCATTCATAATAGACTATAGGAACACAAAACCGCTTGTAAAGGTATGTGGGTTCAAAAATCTTAACTTGCTGAATACGTGGGCAATACAGGACACTCAATAGACTGGTCTAAAACACAACATTTTGCAGGTTACTGAGACTTCACGTCAAAGCGTAAGATTAGGGAGTCTATATAAATTAATAAGATAGACAATGTCATAAATATGAGGAATGAGTATACAAAACTAAGTAGGAACTATTTGTGGCTGTTAGAAAGACTTAAGTAGATGGAGAGAAAGGAGGTGCAGAAATAGCCACTGAGCAGGATCAGGCTGGATAAGCCTCGAGTCTAGCTAGGACTATCACACTTATCATGACATGAACATTACATATACACAATAGACAATAGCACAATCCCAAACATGTGTCAACACTTGAGGATCGTATACTAGTTTATTTGTATAAGAAAACTGCTGCCACCGAACGCACATCCGGTTCGAGAAGTAGCTTCACTCATTTGCAAGTATGTAAAGTAAATTTGGAATAGACAACCAAATCATAGGATGTTTCATTAAGATCGCGCAGTTAGGCGTATAAAAAAAGCGACTAGGGTTGCAGCCGGTCACCTTTTATCTTGATTAAGTATATTTTTCCTTTATTTCGTGAAGTATAGATACTTGCTCTGATGATGTATTTCACAGTACAGACTAAAGCTTAGCACGGTTTCATAGGGGTCGCAGGACAATGAGCCGAGGACTTCTTCACACAATTCAACAGTTGGTACGGTGTGCCTCACATTTAATTAAGCAATCAAAAAGTGTGACAGTGAAGGCGGGATTGGAGGATATAGGAAATGTAAATAGGCCAAAACAGAAGGGGAGATACCATAAATGTTTAGTACACGTTTGTTCAAACGATTGGCTTCACTTGTCTCCTTTACGAGTTGTAATATGGTGCTACGAATGGCAAAACTCACTGACGATGCCGACTATGATGCCGGAGAAACGACTGGGAATGTACCACGTCCACGGTCCGACTCTGGAAATGATGATGCATACAATGGACTCCGGACTAGGTGCGTTCCTCTAAGTCTTCCTTCCAATATCCTTAAGTTGCGAAAACGAGGTCAAACAACTTTTAGACTATTATAGTCGTGCATAAGGGTCTTCATGGCACAGAGCGGAGACAGAGTTGATTTGAAGTTGGTCTGGAACAAATCCCTTTACTTTTGCAGGGCAAGCGGCTTCTCGTATATACGGACCTAACGTAATGCTCGTTATAGGACAGTTTCTAAGTAGGCTCAGTCCTTCTTATGCGAAGGTCAAATTGATGCTGCAATTATGCATAGACAGATGAGAGAAGAGGCGACTGCGTAAGTAAGTGCACAAAGAAGCTTTTTGTTTTCGTAGAGCCGAGTGACTATTCTTTTAGGAATGAGTCTGATAATTAAAGGAGTGAGGGAGTAAACGTTCTCGGCAAAAGAAACAGTGATCTTGAGAAGTTCTTCCAGTTAAGAGTTCCTCCCACTTACTACGTTGCGTGATGTGCATTTTAGCTCCCTACTGGTAGCGGATAATTGATCTGGCTTGATATCATAGGTCGGGCTGGTGGGTCCATTTCTAGTCTCGTGTGAGACTAGTAAGAATATGATTGGTCAACAGTTAATTTCATGTGGTCTACGTGTAAGCTTGTGTAGTGTTAAAATGTAGACGTCATGTAATGTAATTAAAGTAGGTGATGTAGGGTGATTAATTGTAATGAATCACTAAACATTTATTACATATCCGTGCTTTTAGGACCGAGTTTGCACTCAGAGATTTATGGATCTATTTTCATTTCATACGGAATAAAGGTCCCCTAACAATCCTATCTCAGGAGATTTATCGAAACCAAGTTTCTCTTCGCAGTTAAAGCCACTCTCTCCTATCTATCATTCTTCAGCACTTCCACATATAGAAATTGCATATGCTTTACAACTATATAAATAGGTGCCCCAGATTCTATGAAACCTCTACCCTCCATAATTTTGGCATTTATCTTATAACTTAGTTCCATCTAATGAGTCAGACCAAAACATATTTTTTACCGTAGCTAAACCTTATCTTTAAAATCAAAACTAAGGTTGGATTAGATAAAGCGTTATGTAACAATATATATGTTACAAAAATTTAAATAAAGTTCAATTAACAGTAATAAAAGCATACACAATAATTCCTATCGGAAATACAAGATATATCTTGGAATTGTGAACTTTTATGAACCATTTGCAATGCAATAAAGATTTTTTCTAGTCAAGTTGAATTTTATTAGGCGAAATGCTGATTAATGACCGATGTCAAAGAAAAAATGCCAAAACTATTCAACGATTGGAATGGTTGATCAAAAATCCAATAATTGTAGGCTAGAATTAGATGGCATTTATGACCTTCCACTATTATAGTATACACCTCTCAACAATAGCAGATAACAATATTTTGCTCATTGTAAAGAAGAAATAGGTAATCGTAAAAATATAAGCTCGACGACTC